ATGGATGGATGGATGGATGGATGGATGATGGATGGATGGATGGATGGATGGATGGATGGATGGATGGATGGATGGATGGATGGATGGATAATATCTGTCATTATGAACAGAAAGACCAAACAATAAGAAAGAGAAAATTTGCAAGAAAGCAGCTGAATACTTTTCTAAAGAATGCTTCTTTATTTGTCCCTCAGTGAAAAGATTTATTGTCATTAGCAAATTGACAGGCAATTGATAGTACAGAGTGGAAAAGTTTACATATGCAAAATCCAATAAGATAAAATAATTATAGTGCTTAATCAAAAGTATAGTACTTCCCTACATTACATAAACAACTATGCTGTTATCTGATCTAATGCTTTACCAAACAGGAAAGTTTTACCCCCTGCATTTTAGTTATATCTCTCAAGGAGTGCTGGATACTATGGAACACCAAAACTGCCAGAGGAAAGCACCAACCCCACTGGCGCCACTGTGACCCTGACAGAATAAGCTAGAAAAGGTGGATAGAGATATATAAACCACCTCCAAAAATAAACCAATACAACAAACTCACCAATTGATTAATTGAGACATTACTTTATGTAAGTTTATACTTTTGCTAAAGTAAACCACCATCCAACATACAACCCATGTGCAGCATTGGAGCACAGATTTATATTAAAGCCTCTTTGATAAAATCATTTATAATGCGTGTATCATTTATTTGGACTGCATCTTGCAGAGTCCACACACACTAATATAGAGAAGTTCAAGCAAACCCTCCGGAGTGATGAGTGGATTATCCCATTTTCTATTGAGAGTATCCAGATCATTGGCTGACAGGATGAGCTCAGCTATAGCGTGGAGCTCCCCTTCCTCCTGGAGTGGGAGCGGTGGAGACTCTGGAAGTTCGCTCTCACCATCCACCAGACTGTCCATCTGGAGATAATGTTAGGTTTGTGAAATTATGTAAATAATGTTTAATATGTAAAGAGATTATCTAGTCATTAAACTCACCATGCTCATAATGCAGTTTAGTGTTTCAGGACCACTTTTAGCCAGTAGAGCGGCCAGATTGCCTGGCAAGGCTGCAAAGAAACCAAACCATCAGAGCACAGATCAATATGAACTTATGACTGAAGTTGGGAAGTTAAAAAGATGATATCCACACCTACTAATTACAATTTAAATTTCCCACTTGAAGGCACCATTAAACTACCATGAAACTAGATAAAGGAATAGCTGTACAACTTAACAATTAAATATATAAAATAGAGATAGAGTGGGACTAGATCTGCCTAACTTCCAAAACTACTACTTAGCAAATAGACAACAATACATCTCTAAATGGATTAAAAAAATTATCCCTTAGATGAGCCCTGGATAGATCTAAAATAGAAAATATGCAGTAATTCAATTTCAGATTTGTCGTTTATTAGCTTAAATATAAAACAGCATTAATGCTTTAAAACTATTAACATCAGCTTTTCTCTGAAAGCATGGTGAGATTTTCTTAAAATGACGAAGTCATCACTTATCCTTGGCTGTCGTACAGCCATCTGGAATATTCCTGACATTCTACAAAACAATAATATGATCAACTTTCCGGACTGGAAGAATAAGGGTATTAACTATCTGGATAATTTATTTGAAGGAACGGAGTTTATCACATTTGCTAGATTAAATATGCAATATGGCATTAATAAAAAAAAATAATTATTTATGAATATGAATGAATTAAATCTATAATTAGAAAAATTTAGCCATATTAATGGTGGTTTAGAAATTCCAACTAATATATCAGAGTTCCTAGAGTTAAACTCGACGCCAGAGTGTTTGCCAGTTTTGGGAAGTCATCCTGCAAACTGGAGTTTTTGGCCTTCCCCCCCCTGGAAGGATTGTTAAAGCTTCACACTGAGCAGGAGATTAATCTCCACACGTACCGTTCAAGTTCTCCTGGAAAAAACTAAGTGGCAGTCTGCTCCATAGCTCCTCAAGAAACCATCCTAACCAAAGCAAAACCCTGTCCGCCCTCCAACAAGTGAACCAAATTCTGGAATAATCCACACTGACTGGATTCTGGGAAGAACACCTTTTTCTGGAAACTTCCGGTTAACCAGCTCTCTGAGTTACTCTGGATCCAACGCATTGTGCTTTCAATATACCTGTTAAACTTTTACTCTGGTTCTCTGAGTGGTTTCCTGCATGTGGATCAGATCCCTTAAAAAGAACATGACAGGGAGAGTGGCTACAGCAGTTCCAGGTAAAACATCAGAGGTCTCTGTCCAGAAGAGCGCAGTCCTAGGAACAGCTAAGATACTGTGCAGAACCCTCAAACTCCCAGGCCTCTGGTAGAGGACCCGAGGATGACACATACCACCCCACGAGGGGTGAGAAAATAGTTTTTTTTTATAGATATATAATAAATATAAAGCCCTATTTACAACCATGATGACTCAGATGCATGACCACTATTTAAAAGGAAATTCAGGATTACTTGTTATTTACCGTTTAAAGCATAGACCAGCAGGTGAATGGCTTCTTTCAGATCTATGCCCATTTTGGAAACATCAAGTAGATCCATAAACAAGGCAACGGCTTTAGACTGGCTAGGCTGATATTCATCATCACCACTCTGATCCAGCTGAAAGGAGATAGGGGAGTCAAATAATGTGGATTTCGATCCCATAAATCTTTGCTTAGACGTTATTTTGTACTGTGTCCTCCAGCAGAGCCAGAGCTTCTCTGTCCTCCAGAATCTCAGTGAGTGTTTTCATCAGGCCCCTGCGATTCGACTCATGGACATCAGCAAGAGGCATCAGGGTCTCTTCATTGTTTCGAAATACATCTGGAAAAGCATTACATTAAATATTAGTTATTTCAGGAGATGTGGGATTAATGATTTTAACATTTCTTCTGACAACAGATTCAGGGTGGCAGAGCTGATTCCTTTTATCCTCGGGCTCTTCTGGATAAATAAAATATTAGATTTTTCTGGTGCATTGTTGAAGGTTAAGTCTTTCTCTGAATGCAGTCTAAACAGTGCTATCAGTTCAATACAGAAAATTTGCTAGTTTGAAGTCAAACTTCTCAGCTTTAGGGTTGTGAGAGTTGTTTAATTTGATTAAAACAGTCCAAGAAAAAGCTACTGAAAAATGCAATTAGATTTATGCACTTGGAGTAAGGTTATAGAGTTCTTTGTTCTTATTTTGAATAAAAATCATCCTTTTTCTCTTGCAAATTTTCTTATCTGTTTAAATAAAGAAATGAAATACTTATTTCAATTAAAATTGACCTACCAATTTTGATTTTTTGCAGTGCTCTAGAATGGTGGAACTACTTGAACCTGTTATCAGCTAAATGTTGCAAGCTTAAGCCTCTGCAGGGCCAATGAAATCCCCGGACAATTAGGAATTGTAGAGAGAAATGTTCTGTACTGTCAAAAAGCTTGGTGTCAGTGGCAGGTCAAGAGCCTTCAACAGGATGATAAACCAAAACACTCAGCTAGAAACAGCCAAGAACGTTTGAGGAGTGATCATAGCGCTCTGTATCAGTAGTGCTCTGTCTGTCTGTCTCCCTGCCAGCTCCCAGATCAGCTTTTCTGATTGGTTGATGTGACGCGTCGAGCAGCAAAAGTTCAATTTCTCTAACTCAAGCATCTTCTGCTTCTGAAGCGCGTCACACAGGTCAGATGCTCAGATGCGCTGCTCCTGCTGCTCAAAATGCGCTGCGGGACGTTTCGCTGCGCTATGATGTGTGTCAATCATTGACTTTGCATGTAAACTAGCTGCTGCTGCTTCTCCTGCTGTTTCAGGTGGAAAGATAGCATATGATTAAATACAGTAAGATTGTTATTCACGCTGGCGGTAATGATACCCGGTTACGCCGATCAGAGGCCACTGAAATTAGTGTTGCCTTGGCGTGAAAGTTTGCCAAAACTATGTCAGATTCCGTAATTTTCTCTGGTCCCCTCCCTGATCTGACCAACCCCTGCTTGTCTAGGTGGTGTCCTGAAAACAAAGTGGGCTACATTAATAATTGACAATCCTTTTTGGGAAAGCCTGGTCTGATTCGGAGAGACTGCATCCATCCCACTTTGGATGGTGCAGCTCTTCTTTCTAGGAATCCTTCTGAGTTTATTATTTCTCCAAAACCCTGACCACCCAGGGTGCAGACCAGGAAGCAGAGTTGTAGTTTAACACACATCTCTGCAGCTTCTCTACTGTTACACACTCTTTACTCCATCCAGACAGTGT